AAAAGGAAATATCAGGAAGAGATTCGGGTATGTACAGCAGACCAATTGATGTGCAAAAAAGTAAGCGAAAGGGCAGGTATTTGTAAGGGGACAAAAGGAGGGGAGAGTTCGAGGGATATCAGAAAGGAAAGCAGGGGGCAACCGGTGCAGCTAAGGAAGCAAGCGATTGGAGAGGGAAGACGCAAGACGACGCAGCCAACAGATGTTTGCTGAACAAGTTTGGGCATCAAAAAGACAGCCGGGCATGGCGAGCGGGAGCGGGCAAAGGGGCGGACGAGTCAAGCCGCGGCGGGCGATGCGGCGGGAGGCGGCGCTAAGCGGGAGCGGGAGTGGGAGGCCTCGATTCGCGAAAAGGCGTCGCGCGCGGCCTCGCTGCGGCGAGCCCGTGCTCTCTCGTCCCACCTGTCTGTTTTGTGTAGGCGTCGAGCTCGTCCGTGTACAAGTCGCTCTTCCTGACGGCGGAGGAGAAGCGCAAGCAGGAGGAGGAGATGAACGCGAACCCGTGCGCGCGGGGGACTGGCTTCTCCGTCCTGCGACCCGCCAAGTTCAACGCGTGAGGAGTGCGATTTCGCCAAGTCGCGGATGCGATCCACGTCGTGTTCGGTGTGAGTTGGAGAGGCGTCTGCCGTGTTGTGGCTGGGAGGGGGGCATGTGGGAGAGATGTGTGTTTGTCCCGCGAAAGCAATAAGCATCTCCGCGAGGAGGCGAGGAGCACATGGAGTGCGGTCATCAACCGCACGCCCAGGGCCCGGGCACTTGGAGCACTTGGAGTCGGTAAAAAGAAAAAGACAACCCAAGAGAGGGATGCGGATGGGAGGACGGCACGCCGCCACCAAGCCGCAGTTTTCCCCCTTGCCCACCACTTTGTTGTGTGGAGAAATCTACCTATACAAAAAAAACGCCGAAATAAGGCGCCCCAGCAGGGAGACCGCCCCAAGCTGCTTGCCTCATTTTGGTATATAGGAATCCTACCAACAAGCTAAGCTTGCAAGGTTGATCGCCGTCACGCAAGCTACGCTCGCACATAACGAGAATGGCCGACGTCTCCGCGAACACCGGACGCGAGGGCTGTCAGTGCCTGATTCAGATCCTCTCTGCGCCGCAGATCGCAGTCATCTATGACGAGAAGTACGAGTACGAGGCGTCTTACGGATGGCAAGGCTGCAAGTCATACGATGTGGATCGGCCTCCTTTTTGCGAGCCGCACAGCAAATTGAAACTCAATGACGATCCCGACTTTTGCACTTCAGAGTGGTGCTACGTCAACAAAAGTGCGTGCACGACGGCGGCGTATAAGCCGTCAGCCTTCTTTGACGACGGCGTTTTCTACTCTTACGAGACCTGCAATTCCACGGACACATTCACGAAATGTTACGACAACGGGGCCTGCAAGGAGCTCGTCCATTCCATCTATGCCGGGGCGATATGTGAGTCCGGGAGAGGCCAGCGCTGTGGAAGCAACAGTCTGACATGATTCGGCCCGCTCCCATCATCATCATCAGGCGCCTTTGTCATGATTGTCCTCGTCGTTGTGTACACCGTCGTCGCCCTCAACGCCCTGCGAAAGCGGGAGCGCGTGCCTCGCCCCTGGGACCTGATTGTCTTGGCATGCCGCGGCGCGCTCATGGCCTGGGACCGCGCAAAGGAAGGTGAGACGCTCGCCACAGGCCGGCGCAGCGGGCACAACGTCGCAGCCTCAGTCCCCCCCTCCCCCCACCCCCCATCCGAAGGTAGGGGGAAAAAATCGCGTCTGGGGCTCCTCCCACCCCGGGCCCGCCGGCTTAAATAAAGGGCGGCACCACAGGGTCATTTACCCATCTTTGCACG